CGCCACCGGCCGGCGACAGCGGGGCGCCCGCGGCTGGCGGTTCGTCGCGTGAGTTCGCCGTGTCTCGCGCACTGGCCCGCTACCGCCAGCGGCAGAGCTCGCTGTCGGCCGACGAGAGCAGCGTCGACGCCTCCGAGCCGCCCGGCGCCGTCGAGCCGCCCGGCCGGCAAGCATCGCAGCCTCGTCCGAAAGTTGGCGACGGCTCGCCGCCGCCCACACAACAGCGGCGCCGGCGGCGCTGGTCCCGGCGGCGGCGGACGGCCTGGCCGGCGTCGAGAAGGCTGCCGGCGACGGGTCACCGGAAACGGCCCCCGCCGCCGGAAACACCCGAGCGCGCCATCAACGAAATCACGCTGCAGCGGCTGAAGGAGCAGTTCACGTCGCTCTCCAAGGACTTCCTGGCCGCCGGTCCGGGTACGGCGGCCGCGAGCCCGCGCGCTAACCACTCACGCAACGGACTTTCGCCGCGCTCGCCGCGCCGCGACTTCCCGCTCTACTCGATGGGCAGCACCGACCGGCAGGACTCGGTGGACAGCAACTCGGACAAGTCGGCACGCCAGCTGCTTGGTCTGCCCAACCAGCGCACGTTCTCGGAGGACGACGACAACCGCAGCCTGCGCTCGCTCCGCAGCTCGCGCGTCTCTTCGCGCCGCCAGAGCACCGACGACAGCATCGACTCGGACGACGAGTGGTACCGCCACGAGCTCAAGTATCTGGAGGTGCTGGAGCACGAGCAGCGCATGCACCAGGCGCGCGTGGACGAGGCGTACCCGGCCGAGCCCGACCTGGCCGTGCACAGCCAGATGCACGACGTGCTGGCGCAGCTTGTGCAGACCGTGGGCGGAGCGCGAGCGGCGCCGCGCGGCCGAGCAGCGCGCGCGGCGACGAGGAGCAGCGCGCGCGCGACGAGGCGGCACGAGGCGAGGCGCGCCGGCACCTGCAGCGCGGCGGCTGCGTGGACCAGCCAGACCGGCGCGGCGAGTGGAGCGCGCCCAACGGCCAGGGTAGCCAGGAGTCGCGCGACGCGCACCTGCTCTCCGTCGACGCCGAGGACGAGCTGAGCACGAGCGTGCGCTCGGCCGAGTCGGCCTTCTTCTCGGCCGACAGCCGGCACAGCTCGTTCCGGCACAGCGAGTCGCAGGAGACGCCGCTACAGGACGACGAGAGCGCGTTCGGCTCGGGCACGAGCGGCGGGTCGCGAGCTGGCCGAGCCGCGCCGGCCTGGCGCTGTCAGCCCCACCGCCGAGGAGGGAGGAGGAGCACTCGTCGGGCGACACGAGCGGGCCCAGACTCGCCGCGCGCGCACAGTTCGGACGAGGAGGCCGAGGCGCCCACCGTCACCTACCAGATCCCGACCATCGTCACCGAGGAGATGGACGACAGGGCGCCAGGGCAACCGACCGAGTCGAGCTCGGCGCAGGCCGGCGACGGCTCGGCCGACGACAAGCTGCCCACCGCCAAGTGGAAGCTGCTCAAGACGCTCAAGGAGCGCAAGGAGACGATGCAGTCCCAGGAGTCCATCATATCGCCGGAGAAGGTGAGCCGGCGTCCGGCACAGCGGCGGAACTGCGCGGCGGGCAGCACTCTGACTTGGCTGGCCAACGCTGATCGGTACACTCCACTCGGCCCGGTCTAACTCGAGTCCGTGCACTCCACTCGGCCCGGTCTAACTCGAGTCCGTGCACTCCACTCGGCCTGGTCTCACTCGAGTCCGTACACTCCACTCGGCCTGATCTCACTCGAGTCCGTGCACCTCATTTGAGTTCCTCTAAATCGAGACCGAAACGAGCACGCTCTGGGTGCCACGGCGTCGATTGGTCGAAGGCGCTTAATAATTTGTGTGCGGCTCGTGCAGGGGAGCCAGGCGTACCGAAGGCGAGCGGTCAGTGTCGCTGGCGACACGCGAGACCGGTCCCCGCACTCTGTCCGGCTCGGCCGCTCTATCCGGCGCCATCGACTGGTCCGAAATGGCGGCCGCGAGACATGGTGCAGGCCTCCAATCACTCCGCACTTCGTCAGCGCCACTCGCTCGCAACTCAAAACCGCCCCGCCCTCGACCTTGGCGAGTGGCCAGTGCGCCACAATCGTCGATGACCACGCCTCGCCGACGATGCAATGCCGACCCCTCTTGCGCGGCGTTCGCGGCTGATTCCTCTCCGTTTCCGAGGCGTCGGTTGTTTTCGCAATGGGCCGTGGCCGCGCCGGAGTTTGAGGCATCGATTACGTGCGGCCGACCTAGATTGGGGCGTCGGCCGGCGCGCGGTAGCCGTATTTCCCGCTGATCAATACAAGCTCACCTGACGGGGACGGGTCAGGCGGCGCTTTCCGCGACCGCGCCGCCCGCTCGCTGACCGCGGTGGCGGGAAACGCAGGGACGCGGCGGCGGCGGCGGCACACTCGCCGCGAGCGCGGGCCGGAAGGCCGCGGCAGCGACGGCGCCTCGTCGCCCGGGGATAGCTTTCACGTGCCCGGACGCCATCGCTGGACGCTTCCAGTCGCACCCTCGTCCGCTCCAAATCTGCAAGTGTGCACACAACAGGCGGGGGGACCGCGCCCCACGTCAAGGGACGCAGCTCGGGCTCTGCGAGACGATCGAACGCCCCGCGTGCCGGGGGTTGCGCTTGGTTGTAGTTCAGTCACCGCTCTCTCCAGCATGTGTCGTGTTCGTCGTGGAAATGGATGCACCTTGATACTTCAGGCCTCAGGGTAAACTTGATTTCCGGCATTGGGTCGTTGATGAAAGGGCGTTGCAAACATGCGTTATCAAGTGGCAAAAATAATACGAATGGCCTGAAGACTGCGGGCCTGGCTCAGTTGTAGAAACTCTCGTCAGCCCAGAGTGAATCTAGCCGGGGATAAGCTGTTCATTGCAAACCAAAATATGGACGAGTCCCGCGAGCTGCCCCCCACGGCTCCAAACAGCCAGGCCACCTGGCACGAGGTCCGTCAGGTGACCGCGGTCCGACATTGACCCGTCAGCTGGCGCTAGGGTACCGGCCATTCGACCTTGTCCGACGCCCTTCGCTCAGCGGTAGGTGAGACGTGGTGCCGAATGAGAAGAGGAGCTATGTTCAGAATCGCCTCTATACCGCGTCTTTTTCTCTCTCTGTGAATCGAAGGCCCAATGCATTGAATGTTGTCTGTTTTTGTCGTTTACACTGAGTTCATGGTGTGTTAAACACTTTGCCAACGATGCTTTACAGCAAGTAATGCCCATTGTTCCCTACACAATACCCTGATGTAGATGCGCGAACAGGCTCCAACAGGGTCTTGCGCAACGCATCATTTACATGCAGGTCGTTTACTGTGTTGCCGGTAACATTCTGGCGCCTCAGTAATGGACCACACAAGAGGCCACCCTCGCGCTCCACGTCCCCCCCCCCCCCCCCCCTCCTCTGCTGTGTATCCATCACCACACGCGGCTATAGGAAGTCGATAGTGCTCATTACAATCGGCCGAAGGAAATGCCGACTCATTAGAGCCAAGTGTGCGGTTTCCGCCTGGTCAGAGACGGCGGCTGGGCGGGATCCGGACGGGGCCCTGGCTCGACCCCCGCCGGACCCAGATCATCTCCCGGAGGGGGCGGGGCCCGGCGCGCGGGGCGGCCGCCGGTGACCGAGATACCCCGGGGCGCCGCTGAATGCCGGCCGGCAGGTCAATGAACCGTCCACGGATCGGGGCGGGCCAGCTTTTTTGTGTCTGTTCGGCCCTGAGCTCGTTTGGCAGATGCAAATGCACATGTTTAGGAGCGATGTGGCATGGGATAATGGAGAATGGATGCCCCCCGGAGATGCGCCGTTGGAGTCCTAAGGAATTCACGTACTGGCCTAATCCCTAGTCTGTCCTAGTATATGGTAGCTGCATGCAGCCACACAAGCTTCGAGGGTCGTTAGGCTCATTAGCCATGAATGACGATTTCGGATGAAGGAAAAATCCAGGCTGCAAAACTAGGCCAGCTTTTGAGGCCCGTCGTCGCAGGGTGAGTTGCAAAGAATCTATGCGGGAAAATGCAGCAAGTTTAACGATCCTTGGTTTGATTAATTTAGCGTTCATAATCAACGTCAATGTCATAGCGTGCATTCTCGGCGGTATGCCTGAAGTTAGGCCGACAGCTCGCACCATCCATTACAGTGTGGTGGCGAATAGCGTACACATACCGGCGCAGGAGTAGCGACCCCTGCTGACCCAGGACTAGCCACATACGAGTCGCCGTGCACAATCGATAATGGAACGGTTTTCGTTGTGCAGAAGCTTGGTTTGGCCACCATACCCGCGGCTAGCTGTCATGTCAAGCTTACAACAATCTATTTGAACTGAGATGTCTTGCTTTCTTGCCACAAACTGTTATATTTTGTTATCCCTGTCAATGCGCCTCGGCTCGGCAAGATGCGGTATTCGACTTTCCTTTTGGTTACGCAACAATGATACAGTTTGGTTTACGAATGATGACACACCTGCCTATTTTACTTACATACTTTTGTATTTTACTACCTTTTTACTGACAGCACCAATTGTTCAAAAAAGCTATACCTTTTGCGAAGGTGGTCGTCAATACGTACTCGGACGATAAATATATTTGTGTCTTAGTGTGTTGTGTGTGGTCGTAGTGCTGTAGTTACCTTGACAGGAAACAACTTTTAATTATGGTATTCCTCATCTAGGCAGGAAACGCACAGTGTCATTCAAGCCTCTCTTCAAAAAAACACCTTATTCGGAAAAAAATAACGAAAAACATTAAGATAATGACGAACGCATATTTAATCGGCACTGGCCGCTTTGATCATACGCTATATGTGCTTCTCACATCGTTGTTGCTCTGGGGTTTTAGGGATGCGGCAAATGCATAGGTTATCTGCGCCCTCCTCACACCAGAAATCACATTGACTTGGACTTAGTCAGACCCTTCTACGCTTACCCAGTGTTCATGTTCCTGCTTTCATGTGTGCCGCTTGTCTGATTTGTCGGCCCGACTAACGCTGCGTTCTCCTTGCTTTCTGCAGCCGGCGGGAGGTGACCACAGCAGGAATGGGTAAGTAGCACCCACGCCAGCGGCTGACCTTCGCTGCGTCAGCGCCTCACCTCCGCCGATGGT